TCTTCCTCTTCCTCTTCATAATTTTAATGAACATTTACAGATATTTTGGATTTCCATTCATTCATTGCTGTACTTCTCTCCCTGCCCATCCCTCCCTCCCTCCCCCAGTTCGCTCCTCTCTTTGAAAAGTAAAAGAAACACTCCCTCCCTGGTATGTAGTAAATAAACTTTATTCGCCATCTTTCTCTTACAGAATGGCTGGTAGATTTGAACTGCCTGCCTTTGGGTTGGCAGAACAGCTCCTTACCATGGAGCCACCTGGAGCTCCCTTGGGTTCACATTAATTGATACAAATCAAGTATTTGGAAAAGCTTTCTGTGAAAAGCAAGTGAAGTGGGGAATTCAGTGTGGTTACTGTTGTGGCAAAGTTATAACCTGCAAGTAGCCAACTGTCTATTTCAAAAGAAACTTTAGCAATTAAAATTGATGTCCTAAATTATGAAGCAATAATTGATGGGAAATAAATGTCCTCTGTAAACTTTAACCCAAACCACATTAACCAAAACGCAGGGTTAAAAATACTTCTATGTATATATTGTGGTTGTTAGGTGCTGTTGTTGTCTTTGACTTTGAAATCCTGTGAACCACGGAACCAAGTCCTGTCTGACTCTACACCATTGTCACAGTAGGTCACTGCAGTGCTTAATTAAGCCCATTGTTGCTGTCACCATGCCAGTTCATCTTTGTAAGGATCTTTCTCTTGAACTGTGGTGTTGGAGGAGAGTACTGAATATCCCATACATGGCCCAAAGAACAAACAGATCGGTCTTGGGGGAAGTGCAACCAGGGTGCTCCTTAGTGAAAAAGATGGTGAGGCTTTGTCTCATCCACCTGTTAAGAGAGGCTGTTCCTTGGAGAGGGACATCATGCTTGGAAAAGTGGAGGGGTCAGTGAAAGAGAGGAAGACTCTCAACGAGGAGGACTGACACAGTGACTGCAGCGTTGGGTGCAAGTGTGTCAGAAATGATGAGGATGTCTATGGCCATACCACCCAGAACGCGCCAGATCTTGTCTGATCTTGGAAGCTAAGCAGGGTCGGGCCTGGTTAGTACTTGGATGGGAGACTGCCTGGGAATACCGGGTGCTGTAGGCGTATAAAGAAAAAAAAAAAAAAAGAAATGATGAGGATGGCGCAGGATAGGACAGGACAGGGCAGGACGGCACAGGACAGGACAGGATTCAGATCCAATGTTCATAGAGTCGGGAGGAGTCATACTCGACCAGACAGCGCCTAACAAACACAGCAGCACACTTTGCCAAGCGTGATGTCCTTTTCCTGGGACTGGTTCCTTCTGAGAACATGCCCGCAGTGTGTGAGATGAAGTCTCGCCATCCTGACTGCTGGGGAAGCACTCGTGCTGTCCTCCTTCTTAAAGAGGTTTGTTTGTTCTCCAGGCAATCCATGTATATTCAACAATTCAAAGGCATCAGATACATTCCAGCCTTCCTCCTTCCATGCCCAGCACCCACATACATATGTGATGATTGAAAATCAGATGACTATCGGACGCTCTGCTCCCCAGCTGTGTTCTCTGTCTGCTGGCTCTGAAGGAAGACCCTTGTCTCTTTCAGCTTCTGTAGGTCCAGTATTCCTCAGTTCCTCGTGATCTTCATGACATTTCTTTTCTCTTATTTATCTAATACCAATGGAAGCAAAATCTTGCTGAAGATTATAGGAAAACGACTAGAACAGGACATTGTCAGAGAACTTCCAAAAATACAAGCCGGATTTAGAAGAGGCCATGTCACTAGGGATAGCATTGGTGATGTCAGATGATCAGGGCTGAAAGTAGACAATACCTGAAAGATGTCTATTTGTGTTTTATTTCCTATGTGTAAGCATTTGTCTGTGTGGATCACAGCAAATTGGGGCTAATGTTGAGAAGAATGGGAATTCCCAGGACACCTGATTGTGCTCATACAAAACTTACATCTAGACCAAAAAGCTGCTGCGAGAACAGAGGAAGGGAACACGACATGTTCAAAATCAAGAGAGGAGGGTGGGTGTCAGAGATGTATCCTTTCTCCATACCTTTTCAATCTATGTGGAACAGATCATTCGGGAGACAGGACTTTATGAAGAAGAATGTGGCATCAGGATTGGATGAAGACTCATCTATAGCCTGTGTTATGCAGATGACACAACCTTGCTCATCAAAACTAAAGAGGACTTGAAGCATTTGCTGAAGAAGGCCAAGGACTGTAGGCTTCAATATGGATTGCATCTCAACATCAAAGAAACAAAGATCTTCACTACTTGTCCAATAGACAGTATCATGATGGAGAAAGAATTGAGATTGTTAATGATTTCATCTTACTTGGATCCACAATTAACACCCTCGGCACCAGCAGTCAGAAAAATCTGAAGATGGATTGTATTGAAAGAATTCTTGTCAAGGAACTCTTCAGAGTTCTAAAGAGTGGTGTCAGTGTAGAGGCTGAGGTGTGCCATGGTCTTCTCAATTGCTTATGTGTCCAAAAGCTGGACAATGAATAAGGATGACAAGAAGAATGAATGCCTCTGAGCTGTGGTGCTGGAAAAGTGTATTGAACATCCATGGACCACCAAGAAAACAAGCACGTCTATCCCATTGAGGGTGAAACCAAGTTGCTCCATGGAGGCTAGGGTTTTGAAGCTCCATCTCACATACTTTGGGCACATGGCCAGGAGGGACCAGTCCTGGGAGCAGGACATCATGCTTGAAAGGGTCGAGGGACAGTGCAGGAGAGAAAGACTGGATGAGATGGAATGACTCAGTGACTGTGGTTGTCAGACATGGTGAGGTTGGCTCAGTCTAAAGCAATTGACTCGATGGCACATAATAATAACAAAACAATAGTAACAACACTGGAAGCTATGCTAACAATGTTCCAAACACCAGCAGGTTTGCCTGTGCTCAGCACGTTTTAGTAGAGCTCCCAGAATCAGACAAACGTAGGAGGAAAGGCTTGGCAATCTACTTCCAAAAATTAGCCAGTGCAAACTTTATGGATCACAAGAGACCAATGTCAGTAAAGTACTGAGAGATGAACTTGGAAGACACTCAGAATTCCCAGCGGTTACCACAGTCTTACAGTGATCATGACAATGACATTGGACCTGACAGTGTTATGTTCTACTGCGCTTACGATCATCATGAGTCAGAGCCAACCCAGTGGCAACCAATTATAACAACCATATGCTTTTTAATTTGGAAACATGTCTTGATTGTTAAATCACATTTAAAACCAATGAGAATTAGTCATGGAAGCCGAGCATCCTTGTCCACCATTCACCTTTGAAGACACATAAGGATGTCAGGGTTGAGCGAGTACCTGTCTGCCTGCTGGGTATGAAGAGGATGTCTCTTTCCATCTGCATCCGAACATGGACGCTTTCATAATCTGCCGGTCTGATGGCCACAAAATCCGCAGCGGAGTGCTCCAAACCCAGCAGTAAGTCCTCCGCGTCATCATCACCCAGCAGCCCCTCTTCATCCTGTGAGGTGTTAAAAATAACATGAGAAGGGAGCTCTGGTGGCCTAGTGGCAAGAAGCTGCACTGCAATCCCAGAGGTGCGCGGGTCGAATCCACCAGATGCTTTGCTGGAGAAGGAGGGACAATCTCCTTCTGTACCAGTCAGGTCCGATTTAACAGTACACACACAAAAAATAATTTAAAAAAAGGAACTTATGCAATATTATTCAAAGTGGGTGACCCTGGAGGACATTATGCTGAGTGAAATATCTCAGTCACAAAGGGACAAATATTGCATGGTGCCACTGTTGTAGAATGGATCTGACATCAGGGTGGGGGTATGACAGAAAAAACTGGATAAATTATGTATATTGT